GGGGGTGTTTGTCATTAATAATACATGTTTGTCTTTCAAGTATGACATTTCGTTACTGAAATTAAGATATTTGCATTGCAAATAACTTGAGTTTAGCAGGTCCCTGGTTCAAACCCCGGTCCAGGGGCCTTTCTGGGTGGAGTTTGCATGTTCTCTCCGTGCATGCGTGGGTTTTCTCCGGGTGCTCCGGTTTCCTCCCACAGACCAAAAACATGCATGTTAGGATGATTGGTAACTAAATTGTCCTTAGGTGTGAATGAGAGAGTGAATGGTTGTTTGTCTCGTTTGTCTCTATGTGTCCCTGTGATGGACTTGCGACCCATCCAGGGTGTACCCCGCCCCTCGCACAGTGATTGCTGGACATGGGCACCGGCGACCCCCGTGACCCAAAATGGAATAAACGGGTAAAGAAAATGGATGGATGGATAACTTGAGTTTGTCAAAAAAAAAAAAAAGCTAATACTCCCCTCATCCTGGGTTTGACATCTTTACCTTCCTTTACCCACTAAAAATAAACCTTCACACTTCTGTAGTCTCTGCACCTTGCTTTAAATAGAATCCAGGGATGACGCAGTCTGACCCAGAAATGCCCAAGTTATATATCAGTTATGTAAAAAAATAGAAGCAGTGAACTGGAAGAATAGTTTGTCAGTCATCAGCATGAGTCATAATCTCAAGGTGCACTTTATTTGCTAATGAACAGTTTTCAAAAGGCTGTGAAATCAGTGGGCGGAGATTAAATGTACAAACATCATCAGTTGTCATGACGTTTTTAAAAAGTTCTCCGGCATCATGACAGCAGACATAAACACTTTTTTTTTGGTCTAATAATACAAGTATGGAGGTAAAAAAGTGACACATAAGTCAAAAGATGGAAATTTATACACATTCAATATGTTCTGGTTTAAATAAAATAAATATAATATACTAAACATATCTGGATTTGGAGAATATTTTATACTTTAAAATTTCCATTTATAGTTATTTTCAAAAATATGTATCTGATGAAATTTTCATAGCTTAAGTTTGTCAAATTTTGGGCGTTTTAGTGTTCATACTTTTCAGAGTCTTTCTTAATTAGTCATTCGCACCACATGTGGTACATGTGGTGGAACAAAATTGTGTACACGGGGTTCTAGTTACATCCAACAATAAAATGTAAAAAGAAAAACAGTAATAAGATCTAAGATATGAACTAAGAAAAACATTAACTAAAAATAAGGTAAGCTGTATAGCATAAAAACAATACGCCAAACAGCAGCACGAACATGAGTCTGAGTGAGCAGATGAGCACGAATGAACACAGCAACATGAAACAGATCAGCAGCAACATGAAACAGATCAGCAGCA